CGCGTGGGCGGCGCAAAGTCTTCGGCCCCATGGCATCACAAACGGCTGGTCACTGTTGCATGGGGGTGGCACCGGGTCACCGTGGCGTGAAGTAGCGCAACAAACCCCAATTTATCGCCGCTTGGCGGAAGATCGGCCTCGTTGAATTGCAGCCAAGTTCGTCAACACTGTTTGCCTCGAAGATCATGATGTTGCGTCGAGATCTGGGTACGGGTTCTCCAGATATTTATCTAATGAGAGATTATCTGCTAATTAGCATTTAAGTAGTTAGGTAGAAATTATGCTTGCCCTTGAGCCCCCCTCCCAACTGAGGTAGGTCGAAGCCGCTCCTTAGGTCATGCCTGTAGCACCGCTCGTCAAGACCTCCCACCCCTTCTACACACTTCTTGCTTCTTTTTGCTGAGTGCCATGCATCAGTTTGGGGAACAACACTCCACTCTTCTCGCTGCCGGCGTGCGGTATAGATGAATTCAATTTGGTGAAATTCATAGAAGGGGTAACTTGGTTTTTTCATGTCAGCTAAATTCTGGAGATGATATAAATTTTAGAAAAGGGGCAAAAGGCAAATGGTCAAACGGCAAATAAAATTAGGGTAAAATATCATGTATACCATGCAAAAGAAGGGCTAAAAAATATACAAAAATGATCAAAAGGCTTGGAAAAGATAGGGCAAAATCCCATTCTCTGAACGAAAATCCAACGGCTAATTCAGCCCAACCGCCGCGCACACATCCGTAGTTCTGTTTACTCCCACGCCGCTTCGTTTTCGTTCTTGTCGGCCGTTCCCCATCCATCTCCATCCAGATCGCGGAACCCCATTTGACTACCACCGGCTTCGCGGGACCCCCTCTCCCCTCCGGGATGGACGATGGGCCCGGCCTCGCCGGCGAGCCCGCCCCTGCGTCCTCGTCGGTATCCTCTTCCGGCTCGCGGGCCTCCCGGCCGCGCAAGGGGGTGCGGCTCCGCCCGCTGCGCCGGCGGCGCGGTCCGGCGCCCGCCGCACTGGCTTCTCGGGGCGGCGACGGCGAAGGCGAAGATAATGGCGGCGCCGCCGCGCAGGACGACCTCGCGCTGCCCCTGGGGATGTCGTTCGCGGCAGTTCTCGCGCGGGTACGTGCTCTGCCGGCCGGTGGTACACAATAAAGTCTCGAATTTTTTTGCTTGGTATTACATACATGGTTGCGCTAGTCCAGCATTTGTACTCCCTCCGATCCGATTTAATTGACGCTGACAATTAATTCGGATGGGAGGGAGTAGCATTTTCTTTAAAACTATATGCTGCCTTTACACACAGCTGATAAGTTCCTAGTATATCTTTCAAAAAAAAATTTAAGTTCCTAGTATTACCATCTTTTGGTTTTGAGGTTTGCACATTTGTAATTGTACTGCACCAATGCATATGCTGTAAAACCTCCTAGTCAACATAGAAACCGGAAGAAATGTTTGCGCCCTTAAGGTGTAGTTTCATGGAATGAAAGTTTAGTGTGCCTATTGGAAGGAGAACCTCCTTCTGCAAACTGCAGCAAAAAAATAAAGGAAAATTGACTGTTTACTTGTACTAGCATGGGGTAATAGAATTATAAGTAGATGAAATAACATGGGGTTTAATGTTTGCGAACCGTGGCTGCTTGTCCGATTGAGGACAGCTTGTCGATTTAGGCAACGTCTGCTATTGGTTCCAAGATTCGACGTTGTTACTAATTTCCATATCTGTGGTGAACGCTAAATGATCTAAAATTGAACTGTTGAATGTGCTGCCTTTCTTTCCTCCACTTCATCTTTCCAATGCCAACTTATGCATGTCTGCTTACATTCGCCGCCTTTTCATTCGTTTGCAGTTCCCACAACTGCACACTTGTTCTCTTTAGTAAACGATACATTGTACTCACCCGTGTACTACTACACATTTGCGTTTCATGATCATTTTGTTAAATGGTCTACCTTATTGGTCAGGGTAATAAGGAGTTACCTTCCCTGATGACAGGTTATGAATTCGAGCAATGATTCAGGCGAAAGATTGCATCCGGTCATCCTTTCCAAGGTACATGATTTATAATTTAGCAATAAGCCCTGTAAACCATTAAAAATGTTGTCTCAAATCGCAGATCTGTACATCAGCGGTGAAGGAATCTTTGGCAAATGTAAGCATGGCCCTCTTTTTGTTGGAGCTCACCTTTCTGTTGACATTCCTTGTATATCTTTTACTTATCAGTTGTATAGACATATGGTGACAGGTTTGACAGTTTCATGAGAAATTTTGAGAATTCATTTAGCAGCACACTGAGGACGCTTCATCGTATTAATGAGATACCTGTCTATGAGAGTAGTCCTACTCCTGAATACTCTTCTACACATGGAGGCTCTGGGGCTGTAGGAAACTCGAGCGCTGTTGATCTGCAAAATCATACAAAAGAAATCGAGCAGGACCTCATGAACTCTGTAGAAAGTCAACTTGTTCTTTATGCCAGAGACAATCGACAGCTGGCTGATCGTGCTCATAGCAGATCCTCTCGTGAAGCTGATCAGTGCATTCTCAGTGCTTTTGAGAGATCTGTGAAGGAGCAGGCTCGCTCAAACGAACTCAAGGAGCGTGAGATTAGTCTTAGCATGAGAAAGCTGCAGCTGAAACAGACTGAATTAGCTCTTAGCTCCTCCTCGCACATGTTAGAGAAGATTAAGTTGTCCTTGGGTTTTCAGAAAGCTTCCTTCCAAGGAGAGAAATTCAAGACTCAGATGCAGGACACAAGGCATGCAGAAATTCTGAGGACTCTTATAGATTTCCTTGTTAGTGCAGTGGTAATTATGTCAGTGTGTTTTGCTTATGGAACTTATGTTCACTCGTACCAACGGATAACTGATGTTACAGCAGCTTGTTCAGCTGCTTCAAGGGTACGTTCATCTACCTTATCGCTCAAAATTACTCTTGATAAGTCTCTTTGTTAATCAGAAGCTTCTCACTGTCTCTTTTCCCACCTCATACAGGGATCTAAATCTTGGTGGGTGCCAAATTCAGTGTCAAACTTCAATTCTGGCTTGCAGTTCGTCAGATGTCATGTGATAGCAGCAACACGTATGTGCTTTGGCATAGTCATGATTGTGGCAATTGCTTGGTTAGCATCCCAGCGTTCCGCACTGACTGGATCAAATATGCCTATAACTTTCAATTTCATTTTGTTGGGAGTTATTTGCGGCTTTGCTGGAAGGTTTTGTGCCAACACTCTAGGCGGTGATGGAAATATCTGGCTTGTATGGTGGGAAGTCCTTTGTTCCATCCATTTACTTGGAAACTGTTATCCATCTGTTATTTACCACGTTCTTCATGGTCCTATATCAGTAACTCACAGCAAGGATGGTATGTGGCTCCCGTACTGGTTTCGCCGGTGCATATTTTATGCTGTGCTGGGGCTTGTTATCCCAGCCTTGACTGGCTTACTTCCATTTGCTTCTCTCTCTGACTGGACGGACCATTTTACGGAAGAGATAAAATCCTTCTTTGTTGGTAACGAAGTTGAAGCCTGAAGTATCTTGTGTTCAAATAAACCTTTTGGACTTCTGGAGGAGTAACATATGTTGAATTTGATGTTTGCCTCAGAAGTTTATCTTTGGAGAAGGAAACTTTGGATGGGAGTTGATGGCATTGTTGAACCATAAAGGAAGAATAGTTGAAGGTATCAATGCTTGCAGTCAGGCGGTGCAAGCTTCTTCGTTGTAGTGAACTTGTGACCTTGCACTCAGATGTCAGGTATCAATGCTTCAGTTTGCTGTATATATTTTTGTTCTCAAGGTGCAAGGTCACAGTATAGTGTTAAGAGTGCAGATCGGTTAACTGCCACCTGTGTTGTAGTTATGTTTGTTTAATCTTTCTCCTGGAATGATGCTTTTCTTGCCTCACTTGGGTAAATTTAGAGACAATACAGTGTTAAAGAGTGCAGACCAGTTGACTACCACCTTTATTGAAGTTATGCTCTTCTAATCTTTCTCCTGGAATGGCGTTTTTCTTACCTCAGTTGTGCAATCTTTTTGCTCACTGTCAATATCAAGAGATGTAGTTCCTCTACTGTTGACCGCTTACGGCTAAAATGTTTATGCTGCCATTGTTTTAGCTGTATGCCTGTGTGTATGATCCTCAACTATTTTAGATGCAAAGCTCAAAAGTATGCACAATTATGTGTTCTGCTGAACATACTAGGCATTTATTTTCTCTCATTTGCATATAGTTTTTTTTCTTCTCCCACTCATGTACACAATTGTTAACCCCAAATATTATAATTTAATAAGAATTATCGGCTATTAATAACTGCCTAGTGAAATACCCCGTAACATAATATAAGACCTTTTTTGACACTGTCATAGTGTCAAAACGTCTTGTATTATGTTACGGAGGGAGTACTACTGAATATTTGAGCTGATCTCATAAAGATGCAGCAGTTGATGTAATTGAGAAGTACATTTCTGTTTTGATTATAAAAACTCCTTCCAAAAAATATTAGGAATATTAATTTCATCTCAAGTCATTTTAAAAAGTTGACCAAGTTTATAGAAAGATATCAATATCTACTATACTAAATAAATACACTGAAATTTTTTCATGATGTATGTATTGATACTGATTTGGTATTGTAGCTGTTGATAGTTTTTTCTATGAACTTGCTCAACAAAACCAACATGACATATTTTGGGAAGGAGGCAAATGCACTGGTTACTGATTTGATAATATTGATATTAGCATTTTGCGCCGATTACATCATCTTGGACCACCATTAGCAGATTTTCTGGCATCATACAAACACACCAATGTAAACAAGAAATACTAAATCTTACAACTGTTGCAACTGGGACTTGATACAAATCTGAAACTATGGCTCCAGACCACTCTACACATCTACACATAGCTTTAAGCCTTAGCCATGTCAGTTCACATAATCTCAGCTCTGCGAGTTGTTTCGAGTAACCAAGACTTGTGACACAAAAGTCTCAGTCTGCAGGACAGATTTGGCATATCATCGGACTCTCTTGCATGGGAGTGAGGTGACCATCTCCTCATCTCGTGCTCGCTTTCCATGCCCGTTGATGAAGCTGCAGGAGAATTTGACTGGCTGCTGTGTTTCTGCTCAATTGGTTGATTATCCAATGCAAGAACAACCAAATAAGGAAGAGTTCAGATTTCCGGATATGATGTATTTGATTTACGAATATGAATGATTAAGTTAAGAGACTGAACTTCGGCTGTTATAACTCACCTGAGTTGTAGTCTACTTGTTTGATCCTCTTAGATGGAGTCATGTCGTCCAACCTGAGTCTTCTCTTCAAACCAAGGGTGATCTCATCACTAAGTAGCTCCTCACTAGATTTTGAAAGAGCTGAGCTGCTGTGTTGGAGCTTGCTCTTCTTGGAACAATTTTCTGTCTCCAACCCAGACTTCCGCTTCGAGGACTGAAGAACTCCAGGATCTGACAGGAATATCATGCACAGATTCAGATCAAAATGTTTACATTAAGCTTTTTATCGAGTGCAGCATAACAACATTTTTCTAGCACGATGCACATACTACGTACTAAGTAACACAGCTTTGCAACAAGTAGATGAGAATGTTGTGAGCCTATGAACATAGTGTATGCCAACAGTTCCGAAACCAGGAAGAGCAGAGTTGAGTTGGAAAATAACAGACGCATTAGCACCGGAGCAGTTGAATATCCCAATGCCCTTGCTCGAATGTCAGGAAGAGTGGAGTTTCTAATACCCCTGATTTGAACATGCATCCAACTTGCTCAAATAAGTTGCTACTGCATCTTTGGACCCTTAATATCCTGTACTAATATTTGATGAAACTGACCCAAAACTCAACCAAGCATTGGACCCTGAAGGCCTGAACAACATTTGACTGCTATGTTGCTCTCTATCTCCAGTAGCGCCGGGAATCAAGAAGTCGGGGTTTGCTCAAAGAACACTGGCGCCGCAAGAACTTTTTTCATAGTACGTTTATACTGTAAGAGAGGCACACCTGGGCGTGGGGGCGAAGGCGCGGGCTTGCCGCGGATGGCGACGGGGGCGGCGGGGTCGGCGCCGGTGGGGAGCCCGCGCGCGGCGAAGAAGGCGAGGAGCGTGCCCCAGGTGACCGCCGTAGAGACGTGGCCGGGGCCGCGGCTGACGAAGTAGCCGTTGAGGCGGACGCTGGCGGGGTCCAGCCCCAGCGCGCGGCCCACCCGGGCGAGGTCCACCCCGCCGCCTCCGTCGACCACGATGGCCGCCGACTCTGGCGCGGCGTCGGGCGGCGAGGGATACCGGCGCAGGTGCACGGTCCGGAGCGGCGGCGCAGGCATCGGCGGCGATTCTTCTTGGATGCTCGCAGCTGGTACGATCGGGGGCTAGGGAGAGGAACAATGGCGAACACTCTGGTTGCTTTGGCTCTGCTGCTAGTGCTGGCGCTGGCGCGGATTCTTGCGGGGATTTCTGGAAGTGTCGCCGCGGCGCGGCGCGGTTGGTAGTCGGATACGGACTCTCGCTGCGGCAGGGTCCCGGCCCACCAACAGCGTGATCTTCTTGTAGCAGGCTCGGCCCTCGGCCCCCGCTCTCATCTCGGCCCATTTAAATCACACATACTTGATGCAAATACTTGAACGCTTTCTAAACAGGCCACTACTAGGCGCCGGTGCGCCGGCCCAACTTTGGGCCGGTTGTACTAGCAACGTCCGATCGAATAACTCATAGCCGTACGATTCTCTCCTTTTCTTTCACCGGGCGTCTTTTTCCTTCAAAAAAAACTCCCAGCGCTGCCATGGATGAGCGATGCGCCCAGCCTGAAAGTACCGCCCGCCTCGGTGCGGTCGCCTGTAGCCACCCTCCTCGCCGGTTGTCCTCATCGCTGCCGGCCGTCGGCATGGTGGAAGCAAAAACAAAAGCTAGATCTAGCAAAAACAGAACATGGTGGAAGCAAAATTTGAAGCTGTTTCTAGTAAAAAATTATGGTGGTGGCAAAATAATTTGCTGGATCCAAACTTCTGACGATGCATGTGCTAGCAGTCAGGGTGGCTAGATGCATCATCTCTGCGTCTCCAACTCGCCGGGTTCGAGTGCCAAGGCAACAAAAATCTTTCAGCAAAAAAATCACCCCGGGTCGAAGTCGGGTGGTTGGTTGAAGCAAAATCAAAAAATGCTTGTAGCAAAAACAAACTTAGGTGCCAACAAAAACGACATGAGCATTTGAGAGCTCTGTGTCCAAAGAAGCAAAAAATTATCTTGGTTCCAGCAAAAAAATACACCGGTTCCAGCAAAAACAAAAAAATTGGTTCAGCAAAAAATGCATCAGCAAAAAAGTGGCCACCCACTCTTACAGCTCCCCCGGTAGCCGGTTGCAGCTCCCGATGTTCGAACAGCGTTGGATACAACACTCCTTGCTGTTGGATGTAGCTTCCCCGACGAGGCACCGACCTTGTAGCACATACACCAGCTGGTTGCAGCAGACAGGGGCACCAATTCCAACAAAAACGAAGATGTTCATCGAAAACGAATGGGGATGGTAGCAAAAAACAAAGGGGTTGTAGCAAAACAAAATGGTGGACCCAACAAAAAAAACCCAGTTCCAGCAAAGCCCCTTGGTTCCAGCACAAACTCACCGCCGTGGCCGTGGCCGGATGTAGCTTGGCCATAGCGACCGAAGCACCCTAACTGCGACGACCATGGAGAGGGCGTGTGTCCAGCTGCCGGCGAAGGCGGACAAGGTGACGAGCGTCACAGCCAAGGAAAGGTAGGAGCCGCACGAGCACCATGGAAGGAGCTGCTCACCGGGGGGATGGCCGTGCCATGGCTGATGAGATTGGGATTGGGAGGAGAGAGACTTGAGGGGAACCAATGGCTGCAGTGTGTTTTCAAGAGATAAGATGAAGAGGTAGGCGGTGGGTGGTCCCAGATGTTCACATAATCACATGGAGAGAAAAACTAAAGCGAGCTACGCGGCGCGGCGCGACCGGGCGAAGCTTCGGCCGGCGCGCCGTCTCCAAACGTTTTCCTTCTAAATATTATTTAGAAATGAGCAATTTCTAAAATTTACATATAAATAGCTCTATATGTACGCGAACAGTTTTTCAACATGCGACTATTTCCGCTTTAGTTTCTAAACTGAATATAAGACATAAACATTTTATTCCCAAAAAATATACTACTACTATATATATGAAAAAAAGAAGCAAAAAGGGCTCAATAAAGCTCGCTGCAGCTCGCCACTGCGTACCAACGAGTCTTCCAGAATCGTACACGGTTTGCTAAGTTCTAAACCGATTCGTTTCCTGCCTTATCTCTGATCTTTCCGTGATTCTCAAGCTGATGTAATCCGTATACGCCACGGCCAGGCTTTGGCCTCGATCAATATATACGTACGCGGCCTCTCTCCTGAGGAGTAGAGAACGCTTCCTGAAATCCTGTAGAGAAAATCCTTCAGAGGCAATCATGGGGAAAGGAGCCCGCTCGAACGCAGCTAAAAGGACCGCCGTCGCTTGTGCGGGTGACGGAAAAGAGCAGCAGCGCAAGGCGATGCCGCCGGAGACAAACGCGCAGAAGTTGGCCCGGCTGCGGGCGCTGGTAGCGTTCGGCAAGGCGGCGAACGCGGAAGCCGCGCGCTACATCGACATGGAGGAGGAGGAGGTGGTGGAGTACCGGCGGGAGGGCAAACTGCACAGCTACGACCCGGACAACGAGTGGAAGAAGCGCTTCGCCAGAGTCTACAAACTCCACCCGTGCCCCTGCAGCAAGAAAATGGCCGCGGAGATCGAGGAATACACGTTTCACCTCGAGGAAAACGAGGACGACTTCAGGATGGGGCTTTACTCGTTAATCGGGCCGGGTGATGAATATTAGGGTTTGTTTTTAGCATGATGAATCTAAGATTACTGTGTGGTTGTTTGTGTATGGAGAATTTGATGCCAGATTTAGAAAAAAACGAGTTTGCGTGATTTTTCTGGAAGTATTTTTTCTTGTTAAATGCAGAAAAAGAAGTTTTCCCATGCAAAAAATGAAATGCATATATTTTTAAAAATAGCTAATTTATAAATGAAATAAAACGACACTTTTAAGCTTGACGTTTATAAGAAAGGAAAACCGCATAATTGTTTTTCCTATTTATCCATTTCAATTACTAGATTTGTTACAATTTTTTTTTATAAATCACCAAAAATGTTTGTACAAACCATTATCTGGTATCAAAATACACACAAAATGTTCATGTATCGCAAAAAACGTGTTAATGTTTATCAAAATAAATGTCCACCTACCCAAGAGAAAACATGAGGAGTTTATAGTGCTAAAATTAATTCCGTAAAACAATAGAAATTAAATATAAAAAGAATACCTATGGGAATTTTTTTTGCGGATGAGAAAATCAATCAGATGATGTGTTTGAGAATCTAATAATATGGTTGAAAAAACTGAAGACAAAATAAAGAGTTCTAAACCAGGCATAAATGAAAGGCGACTGATAGGCGCCGGTGCGCCGGCCGAAAATTTCGGCCGGTCCCGCCTGGGCCGTTCGATCTGCCTAATACGGAGCCCCACCGAACCGTTTGATCACGCTCGTATCACTGAATCACTACCCCACTCCAGCACGCCCCAGCACCTCCTCCCGTGCCGCCGCTGCCCGCCGGAGGTCCAAAACATCCACCCTGCATCTTCTATAGCGACCATGGTTCCAGCAAAAAATTGATGCAGTCCCAACAAAATTCACAGTCGGTTCCAGCAATTTTGTGGGAAGCGACCACCGGCGACCTATGGTTCCAGCAAAAAATTGCTATGGTTCCAGCATATCTCATAGTCGGTTGTAACACTGGCTCCAGCAAAATATCTCACAAACAACAAATCTCTGTCAAAATCGACTGTAGCAAAAAACACAACCATTTCCAGCAACAAATTAATATGGTTCCAGCAAAAATCCTACAAACAACAAATGCAGCAAAAATTCGCCTCACTGCCACAACTTGAAGAGAATTTGTTTCCAGCAAAAAAATCATGGGGTTTCAGCAAAACAGGATCACGGTTGTAGCACCTAGCTCGCCGAGCCCCATTACAAGCTAGGGAAGAAGGCCGGTTCCAACAAATTTTTTTGCTGCTTCCAGCAAAATGAATCGCTGGTTCCAGCATCGTGGGACTCCTCGTCTCGGGTGGCAGCATGCCGTACCGGTGGTTGCAGCTCCTCTGCGGCCGGTTGCGGCCGCAGCACGCCACACGGGGGCGCGGTGTAGGAAGTCATCGATTCCAGCTCGCCGTGGCGCCATTGCAGCATCTCGCAGCGCGCGGACCAGGACGTCATTGCAGCTCGACGGCGCGTCGTTGCAGCATCTTCCTTTGCCGGATTCTGTCACCAGTAGGCGGATCTGCTGCCTTGGGCTCGCCTGATGAGTGGAGAGGAGGGGGAAGGATCAGTGGAGGAGTCACGCCGCCGGGATGGAGAGATGGAAGAGGAGGAGAAAGGGAGGTGTCTCGTGGAAGGGAAGAGGTTGAGCGGTCGACAACGATGGGAAAGGATAAGGTTGAGTGGTTGAGTGGTTGAACGGTCAAGCGACGCGCCGGTGGCTTAGTAGCGAGGGTTGCGCGAGCGATCGAGCGGTGCGACCGGCCCAGCGTTCGGCCGGCGCACCGATGTAAAACGTTTCCCTAAATGAAAGCAATTTCATGAAGAAATATTTGTGATCCCGACAACTTAAAAAGGACGATAGGGTTATTTAAAAACAACAGGAAAAACAACCATAAAATAAGAAATGGGAAAATCACTTCAACAAATATGCAATTAGCATGTTTTTAGAGTTGTTTAGTCATCCAACCGCCTGCTCTTGCTTTTAAAGCCACGAGCCATTCGTTACATGTTTATATTAAAATGCCAAGAGCACCAATTTTGTGCCATGCCACAAGCTAATAATAAAAAAGAGTCGTAGAACATCTAAACAGTCTCCGGTCTTGACACCTTGCTTTTGATAGAGGACTAACATGAGAATCACAGCTGCGAATCTGTGCAAAATAGAACAAACAATTATAGAAGAATTAGTGGAAAATATAGATGAATAAGGGCTCAATATGTGATCAAATACAACTTCAGAACATAGTCACAGTTTGTTTGGAATCGTAGCTCCATTCATACTAGAATCCACAAAATATTTAGATAATTTAAAAAACATACAAATCATTTGAAACTAAATAGACTTGGATGATATCACTACTAAGATACTTTGATAAAACACTGGAATATTCAGTTCTCTTGCTATAATTTCCTTAACCAGTGTTATACTAAATCTCCCACCAAAGCCTATATGACACTATAAGATAGTGATATAAAAATTCC